CGTAGTTGTGATCAGGCACTCAATAATATTGATTTCTATAGATAGGTGAATTATTTCGCGCGAGCGTGAAGTTATGACTGCTGTTTATTCGCGTAGTTCCATGAATTATTGTGAACCTGGCGCACTCATTTGAGGACAGTGTGAGCAAAGGCCCATTCACAACTCAAACGCAAACATAAGCATAGCGCATAGACATAAACATTAACATAAATGATAGACTGAAGCATTCACAATGTCTAACATAAACGTAAGCAAAATAAGAGTTTCTATTGGCTGTGAGACATTCTGGTTTACTAGTGGTTGGATGTGAGAATCGATTTCAAGGTATCGACTGTGTCCATAGCCAATATCGCGTTAGTTCTTCTACCGACTTCGTTCCAATTTCGATTCTCGAGAATGAGCTGAAAGGGGGACCGGTTGTTGACTATTTTATGACGAGTTGGTTGTATAGGAAATATAGCAGAATGGTAAAATATTCCCCAAACACTAGATGATATCATATGATCTGGTATGTGAAATCAATGTCTTAAAACTCTTCACCCAAAACTGTGTAACATTGTTCTGATATACTTTTGATTTCTATAACGAACAAACAAAAAACACAGGTTGAACTTCTACACTTGAAGTAAATATGCAAAGTTGCCTGCTGCAGGGCTAAGAGAAATTAGAAATAGCATTAATTAGTAACATTACGCTATTGTCACAATTCCAGGATTCATTTAACTGTTATGTCTCTCTACCTATTCATACTCTCACAGCACTCGCTGAAATACTCAAATTTACAATGCCTACGAGGGCAAAAACTTTATGAAAGTATTAATGACAGATTCGTCTCAATTATAATTTAAGTTCATGTATATAAAAACAATATTGCGTTCTAGAAACTGATGGTATTTATCTCCAACAACTCTGCAGACATCAATTCGTACCTCATGTGGATAATACCAAATGAAAGTATTTATGTCGAGTCGAGAACACATTGTTCTTCTTCTTTGAACCCCATTCATAACCTTATTTTCCATTCGAAACGATCGTGATGCTCTTCTACGTCACGACGCAAAACCTAAAGATAGGGCTGTCACTGGCACACGTGGTTGGCGTCAGCAGCGTTCGTTCATGTTGATGCACGGTTTGGTGATTCCGATATCTGTCCATTTTAGCTTTACCATTGTCAAGCTTTGTCTTCTTTGTGTGGTACGAATATAACATTGGAAACGTGTAAAAGTTACTCATGACCTCGAATTCAACGATTGTGTTCATTTGTTTCATTAAACACATTGTATGAAACTTGTATACTTGCTGAGCTAACACGTCAATCTAGAAGTTAAAGCTTAATCTAAAAGTTGACATTTTTACTGAAGTTTGGTGTCATAGCGATCTAGTACCTAGGCAATTTTAAGATTTTTATCTGCTCCCTCAACAGAGATATTGCAGTTCAAAATGGAGAAAAAATTGAAAATTCCATTTTTTAAGAGAGTGTAATTTTCAAGTGGTAAGTTGTTTACCATCGGCACTTTACAGAAAGTAACTATACTATGATGTGTAAACACTCGGAAAAAATGTCGGCTGTGATTGTATTCCTTCTCTGAGAAATTATTCTTTGAAAATGTTAATTATTTCATTCGCGTTCACTAGATTTGGTTGTAAATATTTCCCAAATAGAAATACATACAGTAAATAAATAATATTTCTATTTGTAGGAGAGAGTATACTGAATCTAAAGTAATTTACTCCAAAATGCTAGAACAATCCAGCACTGAGTAATTAGTGAAGAGTAAAGGTCTACAAACGCGAAAAATAGCGCACGGCAGAAAACAAAAATGGCCGCAATTAGTAAACCAAATTTTATAAACAAAATTAAAAATGTTTTTGAACAGCCAAAACACAAGGGAATTTATATACAAAGTATGATTTTTTGGAGATGGTCGTGCGACCAATTTAATAAGTTCTGGACCAGTTAAAATGGATTGACCCATACACTTCAATAATTGCTGTTCTCGAGTTTATTTCAAGATCTGTCGTTAAACAATTGATTTTATTAGGGCAAAAATCTGTATCTTGAAAATTTAGTTGTATAAAGACGACGAAAAAATTGAACTTTTGCATGTTCCAAAAATTTATAATTTCGATTTAAATGAAACCAGATTAAGTTCTACTGTATTACTTTATGCTAAAGAGGAGAATATTTATTCAAAAAATTGGAGTCAGTTTTGAGACAATTTTTCAAATATTGTTCAAGTATCACATAAAGTTCCCTCAAAACCGCAAATATCTGTTTCAAACTCGCAGAATCTCGAAGTCGTCCATCGATCAATGAACCTCATTTTAAAAAAAAAAACTCTGAACAGTTTACGGGTTAGCGTTGACCACAGAAACAGGCGCTTTGCGCTCAATCGACTTTTCGGAATCAAGAAAAATCTGGATTCTGATTACACAACGTGTTAATACAAACTGTCCCGTAACTTTCGATTTAAAAGTTAACCGTTAAATAGCTATCATTGGTCGCCGAAAAAAGTACTACGTGAAACTAGATTTAATTACAAATGTTTTACGTTTCCCATACTTGCACGTTCCCCGCTCGTATCGTTGTAGTACTTCACCAGCGACGGCTCAAACAGGATTCTGAAGGGGGGGGGTAAATACGCATGTAAATACTATTGAATTAGTTAAATGTACTGTCGCCGACGCTGTAAACTGTTTTGAAACTATTTAAATGAGTTGAAAATATATGTCAGGTATAGCTTTGTTAAAATAAGTTCTTACAGTCCCTAGCATTGTACACATCAATAAACCGTTGTAGTTGATAATGTGTTACACTTGTTCTAAAATTCCCAAAATACAATATTACCTCGTTAAGGAAAATGAACTGGTAATATTGCAATTTCAAAATTATAAACGCAGTAAAAAAAAGCTTACAGTATGACTGATGCTGAATCGTTAAAATTAAAACGCGACTGTTTTGATTGTTTAGGTAAATGAGGTGTTAGTTAAGTCTTAAAAAAGAAGTTGTTAGACACATTCATTTGAAAATCGGTATTTGCACGCTTAAGAATACTAATGCGAGAAGTTGTATGTAAGAACGGAAATGTGATTCAATACCATTACACAGAGTTTTGTTTTCTCCGTATTTACTTGAAGTTGTTTAAGTTTAATTAGTTTCAAGGTAATCAACTAAATTATATCTGCCGCGCGGCGATTCACTTGTCGCATTCAACACCACCTACTTAGATCTATTTGGATAGCGTTAGTTTAATCCCCAGCATATTCACTAAGATGACAGTGCTAAATCACCTTTTCCGAAATTTCTAAGAATATTCTTGTCGGATTCGAAAACAAATTATCAGTTCCCCACCAGGAGACAGACACGCATGGAATGACAACTCATATGTCTCGATTAATGGTGTATGTTAGTGGCCTAACCATAAGTAACGGATCCGCACAGACATACATACACATACACACACACAAACACTCACGCACAATTGCATTTGCTCAAATGCTGCATAGAGATTAAATGAAACTTAGAACAAATTGGATTACATGAAGATGTAAACAAAATTCATTACTTTAAAAAAATTAACAATTCAATTTTAATTTTTTGAAACTAATAATTCTAGAAAACACGCTCGGAACAGTAACGGCCGACTACATCGTACGAATCTGGTTGTGAGAGGATCTCAATGAGTATACGCCCTCATTAGGCAAGCACTTTTCACTGACTGAACATCAAATTGCTTTGTTTAGTTAACGCACTGTTCGTCAATTTGGGATTGAATAGGAAGTCTGTAGACCTGAATAGGAAGAGACCAAGAAGTCTTTAGGAAGTCTGTAGACCAAGAAGTCTTATAGGCTTTGTGAGAAAAACGTTTGGTTCGATTTGCACTTTCATCCTCTGTATAAATCGGTGGATACACGAGCGGACGAAACGCTAAGAATTCCTCCTCAAAGCGATTTTCAGTTATCGCGTCGCCTAAGAAGGGCTCGCAGTTTGAAAACTCCATCAAAGACAACTTCCAATAACTATGAACTAAAAAACATACATGTTTCCACTTACATTAAAGAAAATATTGTATTTAGTAATTACATTCACAAGAAGAAAATGTTCACACTCGTGTATTACTACATCATAAGTTTCATAATGTACTTTTATAAGATCGCTTTTGAACTACTCGGTCACATACCGACCACTGTAACTTTCAACTTCGGGATAACGGTGGGAGGAACGCATCATAACAACACCCAAATCACCCAAGCACGTGGCGGGATTCGAACCTTCAAGCCAAGACAGATACAGCCCTTCGGCCTGAGCGACCTCGTCTATCCAGGTCGGCAAATACGGTACAGAGCGCCAGGAAAATCTCTCCGCAATTGCACCTTTCTGCCGGGAGTGCTAGCAATAGAAACTATGTTGGTAGCTAGACCAGCGGTTTGTAACAAAAGAAAACGTAAGTTGCCTACTCACCACAAAATATAATAGGTGCTGGAAGTGTTGTCCACTTCACATATTCCCCAGTGATCAAGTTGCTACCAACATAACTGCAGTCTTTAATATGAGACTCTTGACTCAGCTTGGTGTTGAAAGGTTTTCCTGGCAGACATTATTCATTCATTTATTATTTAATTAATAGACTTGCCTATTAATTAGTATTATTTATTTTATGTTTCTGCCAGTTTGTGTGTGCGTGGCATAGGCACCAGTTTCCCAGTGATCTGACTGCTACCAACACAAATGCAATTTTTAATATGAGACCCTCGACTCGGCTTGGTGTTGCGAGACTTTCCTGGCAAACGGCATTTAATATTTAATTAATTGATTTACTTATTAATTTGTGTTATTTATTTTATTTTTCTGTCAGTTCGTGTGTGCGTGGCGTAGGCAGCTGTTTCCCAGTGGTCTGACTGCTACCAACATAAATGCAATTTTCATAAAAATCAATGCATAAATGCAATGCAATGAGGTTTTTCTGGCAAACGGGTACGAGTGTTTCGGTGTGGACGCTTCAACCCTTTTCTAGAGAGAAATAAAGGGTTTTCTTTTCTAGCTAGTTATTCAATAGCGAAAACATGCAGACTGCTCATTATCGGGGTTGCTTTGTAACAAATATAGAGTAATTTTTAGTATTTTTTTTACAACTTAGTACATAATTATTCTTGACTTGGCTGCAATATACGCATAGCCTTGGGTGTAGAAATTGGTCAGACTATCAGGTCCTGTAGTGATTTCCGGAGCAGCCCGGAAACTCATAAGATAAATTAGATTGAAACCATTACGTTACCGTATTGTTACGGAATAACTGCATTGATTCACAATTGTCCGTAAGTGATCGGTTGTTTCTAGGGAATAAATTGCATTTGGCATCCTTCATTTATTGTTTAATTAATTTATATGCGTATTAATAAGTATTGTAACGAATATTGCATCACCTGCCGGATTCGCTGCGCGTGGATTGCGTCATCTGCCGGCGTCCCTTCCCTTCCCACGAACTGGACGGTTCCGGACTATTCGCGAGTCGCGTGGAAACGCGAAGAATGTGCCGGGTGTATCGGAATAAGCGCCGGGCAGGTATAAATGCGCCGCTGCCGGCGGCCGCGAGAGAGTAGAAGTCAGTGAGTAGTAAGACGTCAGTGAGTAGTGAGATGTAGCAGCCAGTGAGTAGCAGAAAAGCAGTCAGTCCGTCAGTGTGTCGGAAGTGGAAGCTGTGCTGTGAAGTGTGCATTGCGGTGAACGGTGGTGCCGTGGGTGAGTCAGCAGTCTGAAGTCTGCAGTGGAAGCTGAGCTGTGAAGGGTGTATCGCGGTAAACAGCAGTGCAGTGTACCCTGGTGTGCGCAGTGAAGTGTGGTCTGCGCCGGTAATTTGGATCAGTGCAGTGGACCGTGGACAGTGCATCGGACTGTGTGATACTATAGAAGAAGAGAACAGTGTAAATAAATAGTGTGTAAGACGTGAACCGTGTAAATAAATAATCAAGAGAACGGAGTCGTGTGTAAAGAAAAATAATTAAGTGTAATATATCTGTAAATAGACCAAGTAGTTTTTAGTGTTAGTAGTTTTAGTGTATAATTCTTCACGAATAAACGTTTTTTTTTGTTTAAATAATACCAGTTGGTTTTAATTCACCACGAGAATCGTTACAGTTTTATTTATTTTGTTTGTGCGAATTGGCGAGCGCGTGGCGCTAGAAGGCGGCGCGGAACTGCACGCCGGCGCGTGGCCCGCAGAGCGCGCGCTGCCCGCGCAGCCAGGGCCCCAGGCGGAAGTGCGGCCGCTCGGCGGGGGCGGCGGGCGCCAGCGGCGTGGCGCTCGCCTCCTGCTCCAGCGCCAGGAAGATGTAGCGGTGCGCGCCCGTCCGCTCCGGCGGCGCCGGCGCCACGTAGCCTGCCGCAAACACACACGCGCGCCTTTGCACCACGGAGCCGCTTGTCCGTCTTTACTTCTACTCGCTCACCCTGGCAGCTCGATGCAATTTCCATCTAGTGGCTTGTAGCAGCAAAAATGCTGCTGATCAAATCCACACAAAATGGTTTTCGAACGAGTACTACCGTCACTGTTCGAGAACATAAAATTCTTTCGTACAACGCCGTGATAAATTAAATATTTTAACAAAAACAATTTTGATTAATACCACAATAATGTAGTAACAAAATAACGAAACCATAGACAGCTCTAAGATGGCCGGAAGCTGCATAGTTTTGCTTCAATTTCTGGTTTCGCATTGAAAATCTGATTTCTTTTTCTTCTACGTAACCTGCCGGAAACACACACGCGCGCCTTTGCAGCACGGAACCACTTGTCCGTCCTTTATTCTGTCTCTCGCCCTGGCAGCTCGATGCAATTTGCATCTTAGTGGCCTGTGCAGCAAAAATGCTGCTGATCAAAATGATGCACACAAAATCGTTTTCGAGTAGTACCCTCACTGTTCAAGAACATAAAATACTTTCGTACAACGCCGTCACAAATTAAATATTTTAACAAAAACAATTTTGATTAATACCGCAATAATGAAGTACCAAAATAACGGAACCATAGACAGCTCTAAGATAGCTGGAAGCTGCATAGTTTTGCTTATATTTCTGGTTTCGCATTGAAAATCTGATTTGTTTTTTTTTTCGCATTGGAAGGTTTCTGACAAGAAATGTTCAGAAATGGGGTGAAGTGAAGAAGAAGTTCTTCAATGACAATTCTTCTGAAACTATACATGAAAGAAAAACGTGACATGTTGTCGACCAACACATTAAAGAAGATACTACAGAGTAGGATACAGCTGAAAGCGTTTGGCCGCATAGAGCCCTATCTCAATGTCTGACATCTTCTATTTTTTAACTTGAGACGCCGTGTGGCCAATTAAGGCAAATTTCGTGTTTATTTCACAATGCCATTGGTGCAGGCTGAAAGCCCAATATTTCACATTTCGTCCTACGTTCGCATTCATACACACGCGCGTTCGCCTATTAATTGGTCACATCATTTGTATGTATCCTTGGTTCCAGACTTTTGCTGTTGGCATATCAGGGCAATAATGCCAATGCTTCCATTACTATGACTCCACAGAAAGCGAGATGGAGTAAATTCCTAATCATATATTTGAATATTGTAAAAAACAAAAGACACTCCGAAATACATTGAAGGCGTCAGAGTTAACTGCATATCACTGTTATCTTATGGAAATTCTAGCTAACTTTCAGCCCCTCCTCAACTCACCTCAGACTATCAAGTCTTAAAAATGACTTAAGGAGAAACAATTCTTATTTTTCTCTTTAGAGTCTCCTCACAATGCATTGTGTTACCGGATAGAAATTTCCTTGCCCAAGCTTGTTTGTTACTACGACCTCATGCCTTGCATTTGAAAATGATTGGTAATTTCTAAATGGAGCGTTTGAAAACATAAAACAGATGTAAACCTTGTGCTCAAGTATAAACAACGACGGCGATTCTCAAAACTGTTTTGTTGCAGTTTTTATAACATTGACTTAATAAACATTCGTTAGATTGTTTATTACCTACTGTCTGGGTACAAACAGCGAGACTGTAAAGAGCAGCCTAAATCACACTATCCTTTGAAGCTCACTCTTTACTGTTTCTGTCGACAGAACTTTTGCCTACATTGGGGTTGTCCCACCCGAGAGAAACATGCAATTTGCTCATAAAGGCTGATATAGAGAAGTTTCTTCAGAAAGGTACTAGTTAGATAGACCAGAAAACAAATGAATGTCATGTCGGAAAATGGCATTTCACTAGGTTGTGTCCAATCTATTTACAAGTGAGTCAAATGCTAATTAACGCATTGAATTGAGAGCATTGGCATAACCTGCAATTATATGATCAGCAATGGCCAAACAGAAGTTGTCAAATCAGGTCCTTCTTAGACTAATCTCTGTAATCAGGTCCTTCTAGAGTAATCTTCTTAGAGTAATTTCAACGAGTACCGTAAGGTCGTGCGAGCTTACAGTCGGCCGGCCGTTGCCAATTCAACCCAATTAATCTGTCCATAATGATATAGAGGAATGTATTGCTTTCAAGACTAAGTAGTATGGGGATTATAAAATTTCATGTATGTATTTAAATAGTGCATAAAATACATATTTATCGGTTATGTGCGTTCTTTTGTTCAGCAAAAGAGTTAGAGCCACAGAAGCGATTGCTCTCAATTTTTGCACGAGCAATTTAAGGAGCCCGGAAGAACAACAGCTGGGCTTGTCATCCAAAAAGTTACCCCGAAGTTGGGTACACGCGAAAACTTGTGTTAGCGGAGAAGGCGCAACCCGAGTGTAGGGTTGGGCATCGAGGCAGCAGAGCGAGCCGCAGGCGGAGAGGGTCGGGCAGATGTGGCCGCCGGAGCCGAACAGAGGGACGGTCACTGGAAGAGGGAAAGGTAAGAACGAAGCGGTCATGCTAAGGGCAGTCCATACATTACATAACGCTAATTTTGAGAATTTTGAATACCCCCTGTCCCCCCTGAGACGCACCCATAACGCGCGCTAGCACTCTCCTAAATAATTACGTAACGCTTTCAACATTACCCTCCCCCATTTACAAGACGTAAACAGACATTGTATTGCAGTAAAAACAATTTGTATTGATTTTATTTGTGGTCAACACACACACACACACACACACACTATATAATATATAATATATATATTATATATATATTAATATATATATATACATATATATACATAATTATATACATATATATACATATCATATATATAATATATATAAATATATATACATATATATACATATATATATACATATATTACATATATATATAATATATATACATATATATATATATATATAATACATATATATACATATATATATACATATATATTACATATATATATATATAACATTATATATACATATATATACACAATATATACATATATATACACATATATATACATATATATACACATATATATATAAACATATATATACAACATATATATATACATATATATACACATATATATATACATATATATACACATATATATATTATATAATCATAATATATATATATATAGTGATAATTAAAGTCAGAATTAATTGACTAAATCTAACAATTCAATTGGGGACAGTTTTTGGCTGAAGGAAAAACGCTTAGACGGAAAATGTTTAACTACAAAGCCGTTCACTCGCCCTCGTGAATGTCGCTTGGGGAGAGTCTACTACGCCAATTTAATTGAATTCCACAATATAGCTACGTTTTCAATGTTTACTTCGTATTCGTACAGTTTGAATTTAAAAAATTAATGAAAAATATTTACATTTATTGAAATAATTTACACATAATCAGTTTAATTTATTTAATATTTCAAAAAATAATTAGTCAATATTTTAATGTTTTCGTGTAAGACTGAAAAAAACAAATGTGTCCACAAATGTTAAAAAAATAATGTTACGTAATATTAAGCTAACGTCCCCTACCCCTCTGTAAAGCAGCGTAACGCTGCTTAAACCTCCTCCCCCGTGTTTAGCGCTATGGACGACCCCTAAGCGATGGTGTAACGGTTAGCGTACCGGTTGTACCCAAGTTCGCGGGTTCAAACCCGATCGAAGCCGTGGATTTTTAAGGGCGAAAAAATCCTTCGTACGCCTTCCTTCGGAGGGGAAGTAAAGCCGGCTGTCTCATGTTAGTAGATTTACTTGCATGTAAAAGATCCTCAAGCCTGAATGACCTCCTTCCTCTGCTAGTTGGTGAAAGGAGCGTAGCGAAATTTGCATGGTAAGACGGAAGAGCGGGCCTGATGGTCCCAGTCTCGCCACATAAAATAAGGCAAATTCAATTCATTTCAATTCTAAGCGAGCGAGGCGAGCGGGAAGGTCAAGAGATTCCGGTGCAGGAGGAAGGTCGAGCGGGACGAGGGGAGGGTCAGCACGGGTGCGGGGCGATGGGGCGGTAGGGGTTGGGAGGCGAGCAGAACGGTTGGGGCACGCAGGGCTGTGGCTTCTTAACAGAAAATAATTATAAAATTATTGGTGCTAAAACAGCACGTACTTCTCGCCTGTAGTAATGGTTGTGTAATACTATTTATACGACAATTTCTCTCCGAATTAGTATTTGTAAAACTCATTGGAAATCGTAGAACATTTGGAGCGAAAATTAAATAGTTTCAAGAAATAGATTTTTCATTAAAAACTTTAAATGAACATATATTTTTGGCATTGAATTCATTGCATAAGGTGTGTAGTGTATTCGCGAACATATTCGATGAGATTTTAGCCATACAATATTCTTCGTAAGAAGTATGCGAGAAAGTAAAATACTTTAATTATAATAAATAATACGAAACTGATAGCTTTGGCAAACAAATGTAAATAGATCGAAAAATATAATAATTATTATACACTATGGTATTGTATAGTATTATACAAATATATAAAATAATTAGTTATATTACCACTAACGAATGGCAGCCACCATTAACGCCTTGGGTTACAAAAACCAACACTTACAGCCCATCTATTTGCATTCACGTTTTCACAATTAAACGCAACTTAAGATAACATATAATAAAATATAAATAATAATAATAATAATAATATATATATATATATATAAAATACTAACTAACAACAAATACCAAAATCTAACTTACGTAGCATCAATCTGCGAAAATTGGGAGCAGACGACTTATATTTGTCACCAAATTACACAAAAAAACTCATATTTTCAAAAGATTCAACGTAACCTTATTATAAGATCTGTTTTACATGAACACATTTCATTTAAGGGAAAAAGTGTATCTTCATAATTGTTGTTGTAGAAAGACGCCGAAAAAAATTGAAATTTTTCATTCTTCGAAAAATCAGGGTTTTCAACGAAAAATTACCTACACCATTTTCTTAAACGTCCCCAAAATGTCCACGAAACATCCCGAACCACAAAATGAAAATATTCGTTTCAAATTCAAGGGGCAGCGATATCAGCCAGATCGTCAGGGGAATATGAATTTTGGTGAAAATCGGCTGAACGTTTTAGCCACTAGCATTGTTCACAGACGGTCGGACGGACAGACAGACGTTTTGCCGTCAATGATTTTTTTTACATCAAGGTTTTAAACACGGTTTCTGGCTACACTACGTGTTAGAGATTTTTTTTCTAAATTTAGGAACTATATTTATCCATTTTTTCGTTAGTAGGGCCCGGTAATTAGAGTTTTTCTACCAAAAATTCGCTGTTTTTCGCGCATCATCCCACAAATTTCTCTCTACCTGTAGCGGTAGCAAGAAAGTAAAAATACCTGGGCAACGTCGGGTAACCTAGTTCATTCGTGTGAGTAATTGTTATTTGCAGTAATTGTAATTTACTTCTATGACACATTCCTGCTACGTTAAGTGAAAAGAGTCATTGTGGTATACTTGCATTATTGTTAATGCAAGACAATCCAGAAAGAAAAATATAATTGCAGTTGAATGTAAAACGTGGATTTAAATAGTTTAGAGAAAGTGCGTGATAGTGCAACTTTAATGGTTTAAAAAAATAATTTTATAGCATTATTGAAATCTATGAAGAGTATGTTACTTACTTGCTACTTCTGTGGCATCATCAAGGTTTCCTATTTGGAAATGAGAACCCTGAAAAGAAGATTAATGTTAGTTAAAATTTTTGAAGATATACTATTTACAGACAAAAAGTTTTTAATTTTGTGAAAGTACATTACTTTCAATTCGGCCGGGAGGAGCAGGAGGGTTGGCGCGGGGGGGGGGGGAGAGAAAAAGGGCATAAAGCTGGAGACGTAGTGCAGGAGGGTTAACAGCTAGTATTTACGGCAAGTAGTTTACCGGCTTGTATTTACAGTTGTGAGTTCAATAAACAAATTCGTACCCTGAGGGATCACCGAGGGTGCCCCAATGCTTTTGGACCATTCAGCACACATCCACAATTTCTGAAACTCATCAAACTAAAGAATGTAGTATAATTTTATTTTTGTTTCAGTTGTTTGAAAAGCTTATTTCTTGCCACGCAAAAGACAATCGTTGCTGTAGTAATGGCAGCTGATTTTTTGTCAATGAACATTTCAATCTTCCATCCAAACATAAACATATTTGGCTAATAATAATAATAATAATAATAATAATAATAATAATAATAATAATAATAATAATAACACCAACAACAACAACAACAACAACAATAATGCACAGACGGTTGCGTCAGATGTCTGCGCCGAGGAGACTGCAGATTCCAGTCCTGCATAGGCATGGTCGAATGTGTGTTGGTCACTTGTGTAACTTTGTTGTATAAAACTTTGTTCTACATGTTCATTGGCAGAGAGCGATCACCACCGGCCCCCTTCCCGCCTCAGAAATTGGTCGCACTTATTCTGAAACACCTCTGCACAGGCCTTGATTTCTGGCGGAACGCAACAGAACGGCGTTCCGGTACCTCAAGAATAATTATTAAATTACATTATCAATGTGTAGCTACTTCTATTAAATTAGTATTTAATTTGGGGCGCGTTCCGGAACCTAAAAAATTAACCACTGCCTGTACAAGTGCACCAATAGTAACACACCAGAAGATGTGGCTCAGGGCATTACCTGAAACCACTGCTGAGCCTTTGAACGAGAGGTCGTAGAGTTACAGTCGCGCCGGTGGAAGGATTTTCACTAGCTTGACAGGTCGAATTTTGCCATTGTCGGGAGGAAAATTCTAGGGGCCGGCTGTCCTGATCGTTTTTTTACCGTTGTTTCTTCGGTCAACACCAGGCGAATGCCGGATGAGTACCCTATCAAACGCTGCAACCACGTGCGATCTTTCTTACTCTTTATCTTACCGCCTTACACTAATATGAATAATACACATGCTGGAAGTCCGGTCGAGAGCTGAGAGCTTGTACCGGCTAGGAAGGGGTACCCGCAGGTGGGAGATACCCGGCTGGGGAAAACCCGTTAACCTGTGACGGTAGGTAGCGCCTAATCTCACCATCGGCTAACTAGCGACAAAAACGTCATCGCCACCTCCCGATGAAAAAACAAGCACTACACCTACGAGACAAGTCTTAGCAGTCTAGCACCTACGAGCCCGCAATCACTAACAATTAATTAATCAATTAAATAGAATATTGATTTGGGGTCGTTAAAGATTGGTTTGTATATTTATCTCTTATCAAATCATCTAAGACTGGTTCATTTAAATCATTTTGTTCAAAAACTGTTGTAGAATTATAACAGAAATGTTTAGGTTTAAAATATGGCAATTAAATTAAATAACTTTCAATGTTTTTAATGTAGCTTCGAGTTCGTTTTCTTTAAAACAAAGTAGTGAACTATATATTTTCGAAAATTTAATCGAAAATAACTTCAGTGCATTCTCTTTAACCTCATTTGGAGTGGAGTAATATTGCAGATAGATGGTCGCGCTTACGTGAAGTAATTAGTGCACGTATTAGAAGAGTGTGAGACAAAAACTACCAACATCCTTCTACACGGATAACGTTTGTTACCTGACATGCGATGATCGGAGTCGGAGTGTCTTTAATTACAAATGAAAGCGACACGAACCATACTTCCCCCTCCCAAATAATGAAAGGAAGCAGCTGCATGGTACCGAAAATCAATCCCTACCCGCTGGTGGGAGATAAAATATTAGGGAAATCACCGCTAGCCTGTGGCGGTAGGTAGCGCCAGATCTCACCATCTAGCGACAAAAAAAATCGCCATTTCCCAACGAAAAAACACACGGGGAGGGGTTGGGTCAGAAGCATCTTCACGCATTCCGAGGCGGCCCCCGTAGGGCCTGCAGGGCGAGGCGGCTAATGCGCGGCCGAATCAGCGCTGTGTCGCGAGGCGCCGCGCGTGACCTTTCGGCGCCGATGCTCCGCGGGGGCCGGCGACGACCGGCGCCCGGAGGAAACTGGCCATGGGGCGGGGGGCGGGATCTGCTGACACCGCATTAGCCACGCCCCCGCGCTGGGACGCCGTCGCGCCGCCGCTGCGGCGACGGCGGGGGGTGCAAGGGTCGTGGTCGGCGGACGGGGCGACGGCGGTGGCGGTAGCGATGGCGCTTGTCGACACGATGGCGGGGTATGACGTGGGAGTAGGGGCGACTGTAGAGGGTGCAAGTGACGGGGGCAGCGCAGGAGCGAAGGCGACGACAGTGGCGGAGGCCGAGACGAGAGCGGGGATGGACATGGGAGCAGGGGCGACGGCGGCGGGTGCAAGTGACGGGGCCGGCGGACGGGGCGACGGCGGTGGCGGTGGCAGTGGCGGTGGCGGTGACGCTTGCCGAGACGAGAGCGGGGATGTACGTGAGAGCAGGGGTGACTGTAGAGAGTGCAAGTTGGGCCGGCAGAGGGGGCGACGCCCGTGGCGATAGCGATGGCGCTTGTCGACACGAGGGCGGGGATGGACGTGGGAGCGGAGGCGACAGTAGAGGGTGACGGGGCCGGCGTAGGGGGTGAAGGCGACGACGGTGGCTGTGGCTGAGACGAGAACGGGATTGGACATAGGAGCAGGGGCGACGGCGGTGGGTGCAAGTGCCGGGGGCGGCATAGAGGGCGACCGCCGTGGCGGTGGCGCATGCTGAAATGAGAGCGGGGATGGCGGTGGCGGTGGCCGAGACGAGAGCGGGTAGGATGTGGGAGCAGGGGCGGCGGCGGAGGCGGAGGCGGAGGGGTGTGCCGGGGCAGGCGGAGGTGGCGGCGGCGGTGACGGTGGCGCTTGCCGAGACGAGAACGGACGGAAACAGGAGCAAGAGCTACGGCGGATGCGTGAGGGGAGATTACGCGCCGGGCGGGAGCGGGAGCGACGGGAGCGACTTGGCTTCTGGATCGGGGAGATTCTGGATCGAAGTCAGGTGGTGGCAACAACTCAGAGGCAGTGGCAGAGACGATATCAGCGGGAGGAGCGAGAGGGCTGGCTGTTGCGGAGGCGCAAGAAGGGGGCGGAATGATGCTAGCGACGAACACTGTATTGGTGTCGGTGTCGGGATCGTGTGTGTCAAAGTGGGCGAGAGAGGATGCGGGGGCGAGTGTCTAAAATAGAGGGAAAATTGAGCCAGAGTGCGGAGGCGAAAAGGGAGTGTGGACGGTCCGAGAAAAGGTGCTGAATCTGGAGCTAAATAAGGCTGGGCTGGAGCGAAAACAGTAATAGCTGGGGTTGGAGCGAACGCAGGAGCGGACTCGGGGGCGGAGGTGGCGCAAACTGCGATAGTTTCAGAGGCGCGGTCTCTATTGGTGGTAGCGGAGGCGGTCGCCCGAAGGGGGGCCGTGGAGGGAAGTGACCGGCGACGGACGCCCGGGGAGGGGGAGTGGCACCGACGGGGGCGAAGGCGCGTAGGCGGCGGCGGAGGCGGTGGCGCTGTCGATGTGGGGAACGGCGCGGGGGGGGGGGAGGCGGTCGCCGCCGCCGCCGTTATGAATGAAATCCTGCCGCCGCGTCGCGCCTGCCGGCCCTCGCCTGCGTCATGTCGCCATGGCGACGGCCGCGAGAGCGCGCTGGGACGACGTGTCACGTGACGCTCAGGCCGTCAGAGGCTGAGGGCCGCTTCGCGATCGTCTTTTATTTAAAGGAAGTGGTTATTTTAGGGTTACTTAAAGTTACAACACTAAGGTTCGGAAATAGCGAGAAAATAAACAAAAACGCAGAATTAAATTGCAGTGGGTCAGCATCCACAGGAGGAAAAGGAGTTTGTATTACACAGGGTTGGAGAAAGAAAGGACAATCTTAATAATAATAAGTTGATTTTATCCATCAGATGAATGCAGAGATTTAAGAATGGTGTAGTTGCACACGTAAGCACCATGGTATCGAAATTCTAATTTAAAGTCATTGACGGTAATATTATATAAAGGCTCATTTCTCTATAATGTAAACAACGTTTGAGCCCTGTTATTTATTATTCAGTTTAATGGAGTGGCTAGCTCTAATTTTAATCAAGTTTTTAAGCGGTTGCATACTTACATTATCTCAGGGTATTCTAGTCTTTCTTCTCGTCGGCTAGAAAGCACTGCTCATACGAGTATACGGAAATGATTATTTCATTTTGTTGGGAAATATTCTGTTATCTGTTAATTTAACTTCTACTAATCAAAATCAAACACTTGTAATTTGTTATGAAATTATCAGCAACTTGAAGTGTCGGCTGCCGAATTACTTTTTATTTCAATATTCTATTTTGTTTTAAAAATGCTCTCATTATATCTCACTATATTTTCTCTACTGCAACCTTATTTGATAGCCATCGAATATCTATTTATAAAAATGATCATTCGTTGTTAAACTTAATTTTATATTTTATAGTTAAACATGTCTTGGTTTGGCTAAATTGTTTATAAAGTCTTTTTGCAATTTATCGTCTATTTTTTTTCTTGGCGAAGATATTTCAGCAATCTTGGCGTCGCGACGAGAATAGAGAACATGCTGCGTACGCCACCCGCATATGTCCATGCTAAAGCTCTTCGTATTACTACACAGAATTTATTTTCTAAATTTTGCTACAATTTGCGATCCAAAATTTTCAAGAAAATTACTCTTTTATTGCTAATCAATTTTAGCACTCTATTCCTCTCAAATACTGGAGAACCACACGTCCATCTTCTCTCACGAACTCAAAACAAAAATGTTTTTGAGTC